GATGAGGACATGAGCGCAGCCTTGGGTGGAGCAGTTTTCCCACCATGGCCTGATGGTGATGATGCTGCCCATTTTATGTATTTCACCTGGCTGACAGGTGAGACCTGTCCTGTCTGTCCTGCTGGGTGCTTATCCCATCGGGCTCTGGCTCTTGGCAGCGGGCACCCAGCCGTGGCCAGAGCAGGGCAATCACTAGAGGGCAACCTTGGATTGAGATGTGCCTCTGCACTGGGAGAGACCTTGATGTGGTGTCCTACCAGGCTGGGCTTGAAACAGCTGGGAGGAGAGGGATGTGCAGTGGCCCACTGAAGCCATCCAGTGGAGTTTGCCCATCCTGATCATGCCAAAGCTTGGCAGATGCCTCTGCAGGGAAGCCCCTGTGTGAGCCACCAAGGCCACTCTCGTCTCTCCCTGCCTTCCTGCTCCTGTGTCTGCAGGGTGGTACAGGGAGCTCTTTGCCATCCCTGCCATTCCATGGGGAAAAGCTGCAATGGCTGCCCAGGCTGGCAGCCCCCTAGTTGAGACAACTGTAGATACAGGATAAGATTATGCTGAACCTTTCTTGGATGCTCACTCCAGCCTGAGGCTGGGGCAGGTACTCATGCTGGGTTTAAATCTGAAGGAGAGCTGGGATTTTGGGGATGCAGATCTCCCCATCCCTCAAAATAATTTTTTTTTCAGTTGGGTGGTAGATATACTGTGAAATTCATGTGGGCTCCCCTCCCTTGCCAAAGCCTTTGGTGAGGGGAATGCAGATGGGCGGTGATGGCCAGGACTGGGGAAGAGCCTGTCCTGCTGCCTGCCCTGCCCTTGGAGGTCACAGCCCTCACCTCAGGGGTGTCAGTGTGGGCTGAACCCACACTCAGGGTTCACCATGGAGTGACTCAGAGTCAGAGAGTTCAGGGCAGTGCTGGGGAATTGCACATGATGGATGCCCTTTGCTCCCATGCAACCAGTGCAGGCTTCCCCCCCTTCTGTTCCAGCTTGTCCACTGCCCTCCTCCTCCTGCCCTGGTTTGGGGGCTGACAGGGCAGTGCCCTGTAGCTGAGGATGACACTTCCCTTAGCCCCTCACTGCAGGAGACAGCCTGTTCCCCAGGCCTTAGTGATCTGTGGGCTTTGGAAAATCATGAGCAACCGAGTGCTCATCCCAACTGTTCCCTGACTCCCTCTCCCCTGGGACCTCCCAGCCTTGCATCCCCTGGGGCAATTCCCAGGCAACAGGAGTGTGAGCTGATGCATTCCAGTTGTGTTCTGCACGTGTGCAGAGGTGCTCCAGGGGCTGGCCAGGCGTGCCAGGATCCTGATGGCACAGCTGCCTCCCCCTGTACCAGGAGGAACTGTAAGTCTGTGGGGTTTCAGTGGTGGCTGTGCACAGGTTTTAAGGACTTCTGTTCATCCTGAAGGAATCAGCAGGAATCCTGAAGGAATCAGCAATTTTCTTGTTAAACTGCTCCATTTTACGGCTCCACACTTCTGATTTTAGCACCAGCCCATGGGGTCAAGGAGCTCTGCTTGCACCCAGTGCTGCTGGTGCAGGATGCCCATATCTAAAGCAGCCTCTCAGTTCTGCAGGGTGGGATCAGGCCAGTCCTGCTGGCTCAAGGGATGTGAGGACACCTCATCTGTGCTTGCTGTATGGCTGCGTGCCAGCCAGACCAGCCACCTTCTGCTGCTAAATCCATTTTAAGGCAATTTTACTCCCCATTACATCACCAAACCCTTTCCCAAGGGGGTGGTGGAAGCCCTGCAGGCTGGGCAGGGGCTGGGTGGGTTTCCTGGAGCAAGCAGCCTTGCATTAGCCAGGAGCAGGATGGTTTAATAAATCATTTCCGTCTCTTAATTTCTACTTCTCTATTCAACACCTCTCGTTTGCTGGTCACCAGAGGGAAGGGAGGTCAGGGGAACCAAGCCTCCCCAGCAACCTCCTTCCTGCAGCTGTTGAAACAAAATCCAGAACTATTATAATCATTGTGTCCCTCCCTGGGGTACCACGGTGCCTGCGGTCTGAGCAGCAGCAGCAGCGTTGGGAGGTTGGGCTCACGGCCTCTGCTGAAGATGCCAGGTGGTAAAGAGAGGGCAGAGAGGGCACCTTCCCTGCTGGGTGCTACAGAGCCACAAACATTCCCCGTGGGCTGTGTCAGATGCTTGGGAAAAGATCAGAAGCGTTGGTATCGCCAAACCTCGGGGTGTCACTGGTGCCCTTTCTCCTTCATGCTCCAGCAAAATGCATCCACTGGCTGCAAATCACCCAGCCAGAACAGGAGAGGAGTTCTCACCTCTCTGCCTTACCCCACATCAGATCTTTGCTTGTGGCCTGAGCCCAGGGGAGCAGCTGGGGCTGTCCCACTGCCTAGAACAGGAGCCAGAGTCATGCCTGATCCTGAGCTACCTCTGATCTCCCTGGAAAGGAGATCTCTCAGCCCCTATGGCCTCCAGCAGTGCCCTGCCTGCACCCTCTGCCTGCAGCTCTTTCCTCTTGGCCACTGGCCCCCAGCATTATTTCCCAGCAGTTGTTTGGGTTGGCCCAGGTGCTGCCCTGCGTCCGCCTCAGCGCTGAGGGCTTGGTTCATTTTATGTCCTTTGTTTTGCAGCAGCAGCAAATGCCCCGGAGCAGCCAAGAAGAGAAAGATGAAAAAGAGAAAGAAAAAGAGAAGGAGGGAGAGAAGGAGGAAGACAAGCAGGAAACAGAAAATGACAAAGAAGAACTGACAAAGTAAGGACAACCCTCCCTGCCTGGCTCCAGTGGGCTGTGGTGGTGGGATGCAGCACAGTCAGGGCTGTCTGACCCCGTGCAGGACTGTGTGCCCACCTCACCTCCTCTGCAGGGAGGGAAAGGCAGATCCTCCTCCTCATTCCTTTTCCCTGCTGCTCCCAAAGTGGGAAAGCAACACGATATGGAGGTTTTTTATATCAACCCAATCAATCTGCAAAGCTCCTGTGATCCTCCAGCTTGTTCTGTTGTTACGAGAGCCTCTGGGAGCCGGAGGAGCAATGCGGGGGCAGCGGAGCGTGGCACTTCACCTTTATAGTGTTATTGATGTCAACGTGAGCGCTCCCAGATGAGGAGCTCCAGCCAGCCCTGCCTCCCTCATGCCGAGCATCAGCGCCGTGGCAGGGGAAGGTTGGCACGCAGACCGCTCGCTATCTGTAATGGGCTTAATACTTGGTTTAAAAGAACATCTGGCTTCATTATATCCAGGCTGCAAAGACATTTACCAGCAGGTCCCTTTCAGGAAGATAAATGAGGAGGAGGCAGGGATGAATTTGAATGGTCTGGTATTAAACCTGTCTCCGTCAGGTCTCTGCGTGCACTTGGTGGTGGAGCTGCAGCCAGCTGCAGAAAGAAAACCCCACCACAAATCACCCCACTGCCAATCCCAGCCAGGAAAAGAGCCTGCGTCTGCAAAAAAAAACTGCAGACCTGCCCCCCTAAAAAACCAACAACAAAAAGAAAAATCCCCAGACACGTGCAGAGAAATAATTGCTTGACCTAAAAATCAGACCAACCAAACAACGTGTTTTTCTTTTCTCCTCTCCCTGTTTTTGCAGGGACAAGAACGACGACACGTCCGGAGAAGACAACGATGAGAAGGAAACGGTCACCTCCAAAGGTCGGAAAACCGCCAACAGCCAGGGCCGGCGCAAGGGCCGCATCACCCGCTCCATGGCCAACGAGGCCAACAACGAGGAGGCGGCCACGCCGCAGCAGAGCGCCGAGCTGGGTACGTGCAGGGGACAGGGGGACCCTGCCCTGGGCTGGGCTTTTGGTGTGTCCATTGTGCTGGGATGGGATGTCACCCTTCTCTGCTCCCCGCTCGCAGGAGAGGGGTTTTCCTTTGTGAAATCTTTCCTTCCTTTGTGAAATCTTTCTTTTCTTTGTGAAATCTTTCTTTCTGGGGAGCAGCAATGATGTTTTTCTCTCTCTCTATCGAGTGAATTACTTGGCATGGTACACCAGGATAAAAGTGGGGGCATTTGCAAGCCTGGGCTATCCTGGCTGAGTGTTCATGCGTTTTATGGCCTCAGAGGGGAAGTGTTGCAAAAGACAAAAAGGGAAGCCTTCGGTTTTAGCAGTGCTTTGGCAAGGCCTGTGTCCCTCCTGCACTTTGAGCTGATTCCCTTTGTGGCTACTCTGGTTTCCCAGTCCCCTCGACCTCTGCATGGGACCCTGCTCTGCCCTCCCAGGCTTGCCGGGGTGTCTGCCACTTCTCCTACCTGCTCTGTTTTCAAATTTGTCTGGAGCCCGAGCAGCTGCAGCCTGTGGGATCTGCTCCTTGGCCTTGGGCTGGTCCATTTCCATCAGTGCCTGATACAGCTAAGGGTGCTGCCTGTACCGTGGCATCCGGGCACTGCACCAGCCCACAGCGTGGCCACACCGTGCCACACTGCCATGCTGGCCTTTGGCTAGATGGGAATTCATGGCAGCATCCACAGTCCCACACTGGGCACATCTGCTCTGGCATCTGCACCGTCACTAGTTACCACCCCAGGGAGCGGGCTCATGTGTTGACTTGCAGAAGCCAATGCATCCAGGAATTTGGCTGATTTTCCTATATTTTCTACTCTGTCAAAGTACAAAATTATTGCTATGCTACCTAAGGCAGGTAAAAATAAAAGCAGGGTGACTCCTCTCGGATTCCTTGCTCTGCAGTTTCTTGCTTGTGCTGTTCCATGTGCTATAAATCACGCGGAGGTGTTTCGCCTCCCTGTTCTCTGCTGACAACTGGCTGAAGCCTTGATTGCGAGCGCTCTGTTTTCATACAGGCGATATAAATAGTCCCCAGCACAACAGAGCCCTGCTCTCTCCCTCCAACTTGTTCAGCAATGCTGCAGAGAAACAGCAGATAATGCCAGTAACTTAGATGGGAATTTTCATCCTGATATCTCAGAGTCCTTGATAAACTTCACTGCGAACACAGAGGAAAGCCTTTAGACCGTGTTAAATTGGGAAAAAGGAATGGATCAATTCCAGTGACATATCTGAGCAATTGATTTCACTTTATGTCTCTCCAATAGCGCTTTAATTTAGGTTGGCTAAGAAAGTTATTGCATTTTAAATACCAATTGAACATTAAAAACCAGCACAAAACCGTATTGTGGTTTAACTGCAGCATGCCAGAGCTCCCCGTAGGCATCTGTTTCATAACTGTGCAACCTCAGGCGATGCCATTAATCAAACCAAACGGGCCGTTTCTGTGACATTTCTGTGCCATACAATAACAGCCATCACCAGCTGAGCCAAGGGCCCGCACGGCGTTGGGGACACTGGCTTTTACGTAAACGAGCGCTGTGGCCCTGGCTCTGCCTGCTGCCAGGGGGAAGCGGTGAGGTATCAATTTCCCTCCCTCTTGGCTGGTGTCCCAGGGGCGACAGGGTTCTGAGGGAGGCAGTGACCTGTGCTGTCTTCCGGGAGGTGACACCTGCAATCGTGCTCAGCCGGCTCTGAAGGAGATTTCTTCTGCCCGGTGCTGTGGGCATTGCAGCTCGTGCTGTCCTCCCACAGGGTCTCAGCTTCTTGTAGAGCTTCTTCGAAGATCCTTCCTTCTCTCCTTGCATGTATTCTTTATCCTGAACCTATCAGCCTGTTTTCCATTTTGAAGGGACACTGTCAAAACATCTCTCATCACTGTTGAAATAATGCTTTGCCTGTTGTTTAGAGTAATAACCCCTTGGCAGCTTGAGCCGGAAATCTGCTTCCTTACCGAGTTGTTTTTTGTCTCTGACTCACACCCCAGTTTGTTATTGTAGGGTTTGCTCTGTGCCAGGCTGCCAGCAGGACTGCTGCATAGTGAAAGCTTTATGCAGGACCTCAGTGTCCCCAGCACCTGCTCGGATTTGGGGAGAGAGGCAGCATCAGATGCTGACACCCCTATCAGCCTCCTGGCTGGAGCAGCATGTTCCCTTCAATGGCACTGCTCCAGACAGGGCCCCACTCTGAGAATGGCCCAGAGGTTGTCCAAGAGCCCAGTGGTGGCACAGAGGGAGCCCGCAGTCACAGGGCCAACACCCTTGTGTTGTCAGTGGCCAACACTGACAGATGCAGTCGGCCAAAGTCACCACTGAGGTGACGCTGTTTCTCCGTCTCTGCCGGTCCCACCCTGCGTCTGCCTCCTCCAAAGCACACAGCCACAGCCAGCTCCATCTTAGGTACCTGTTGTTGTGTCAGGGTGCGGGACACCATCAGCAGGAAACCTGCTGCCACTCTCAAGCCGTCTGGCTTTGTTTCCAGGCCCAAAGTGGAGTTTTGCATCACTGAGGTGCATCCCAGGGGGATGTTGTGCGTGAGGTACTGCGGCGTGGAAAAGCCTCATGAGCCCGCACCGTGACAGCCTTTCTTGTGGGATGGATGGGGTTTTGTCATGCCTCCAGGGAGCAGGGCATGGGACAGGGTTTGGGTGTTGGGACACCTCCTCTGAGCTCACTGGGCTTGCTGGCTCCTGCTCACAGCTCTCTTTCCTTCTTCCTTCCCAGCTTCCTTGGAAATGAATGAAAGCTCTCGCTGGACCGAAGAGGAGATGGAGACGGCTAAAAAAGGTGAGACACTCATTTTCTTTCTTTTATCGGCTGTGCTGGAGCTAACCCAGCAATTGGAGATGGAAGGAATCTGACTGCTGGCTCTGGGGCAGTGTGGTGGATCCTGCGCTGTGGGGCTGGATCCTGCCTGTCCCGCTGTGGGGCTGGATCCTGCCTGTCCCACTGTTGGTGTGTTCCCAGTGCGCCTCAGGGAGGGTGTGGGGACGGCAGGGAATGGTGCAGGGAGTGTGCTCAGCCTCTCCAGCCCCAGGAGCTGTGGCAGCACCAGGGATGCCTGGGCTGTGGCTGGAGCCACGCGTGTCCCCCGAGGCAGGAGCTGGAGTAGGAAATGGGGAAGGCGCGTTGTCCACTGAAGTGTTGGAGCTGCTGGTGCCCCCAGCATGGGGTGTGGTTTCACCCCACTCTTCAGAGCTTTATGGCCTCGGTGCGATCTGTTCCAGGCACACAGAGAGTGTCTGCCTGTGCTCACAGCTCTGGGATTCAGGGAGAGGCCGGTGAACCCCAACGCTCCGCAGGCACATGTTGGGGAGCTCTCGAGAGCCAGGGCAGCGTGCGGTGACTTTACATCCTGGAGCTGATTCAGAGCCTTTGCTGAGACCGTTTTTAAAAAGTGCTGAGTGTAGCACAGCCCTTCTTGCCACTTCCCCTCCTCGTGCCGCTCCTGCGCCAGCCCTTTCGCTGCTTTAATTTTTTGCCAAAGTCACGTCCTGTTGATGGGCTGTCGAGCTCACGTCCCCAGCCCGTGCATCCCGCTTGCGTTGCTGCCGACTCTCCTGGCCCGGAGAGGATTGTAAATGGGAAATTAAAATGGAAATGAGCGCCGTTCGGGGATGGCAAAGGCAAATAGGCGTGTTAGCAGGTTCGGCTCAGCTTGGAAAATGCACCTGCTGCTGCGCTGGTGATTACACGTTCTGGAGCGCCGGCTGCCCAGGTGCCGGTGGGAGCTGTGGACTTGGATTACTTTGCCTGTGAATATCCCAAAGTGTTTGGCTCGCTCGCTTTAAGCTGTTCCAACCCTCTTTTACAATCCAGTGCCAATCCTGTGCATTGCTGAACAGGGCTCTCTATAGTCACAAAACTTAATAGATAGACTTTAATCAAGCAAACTGGCCTGGAGCCAGGTAATGGGGTGAGCAGATGCTGGCAGGGGAGGGTCGTTGTGGGATATTTTCCGAGCACTGCTTTATTTTGGAGATCAGCATCTGGTTGTTAAAAAGTGCCTCTTGTTTTATGCTGGATGCTGGAGGTGTGCTTAAGGAGTTTCAGCACCAGCTGCCAAAGCCTGTGTGAAGGAAGGATGAAGCGTGGGAGCATGTAGCACTATTCCAGCCCAGGGGCCAGGAGGAGGCAGGGAGATTTGCTGGTGTAAAGCCCAATGGCTGATTGTTTCTCCCTTCGTTACAACCTGGGAAACTGAGATTGCAACACCAGACTTCTACAGAAGAGCCAAATTCCCCTCTGCCAGGAAGCAGCCGCATTAATGCTTCGAACTGGCTGTGTCTGGCATTTCCAGGGACCTGCGTGGTGGGGGTTTCCGACTCACAGCAACTGTGAAACTCCGGAGGTAACCTCAGAGGCTGGAGGAGGTGGTGGCAGAGCTGCTGCCAGCATGGCTGGGCAGGGGCAGAGGGGGTGGTGGCCTGCTCGGGCTGGGCTTAGAGACATAGGCACAGTCCTCCTCACCGTAAGGACTCGGCCACCCAAAGCACTCTGCTCCATACTGGCACCAGTAAGAGCCCATAGCTGGCTGGTTTAGAGAGTTCAGCAAGATGTGAGTCCCAGGGAAAGTCAGCCCCACCACCCCGGGGTATTTTGGCAGATGGGGATGGTCAGTGACCTCTGCTCCTAGCCCTCACCGACCAGGAGATCAGCCCAGCCCTGCTGTCCACCCCTGGGTTTCTTTGTGTGTGGCATGAAACTCCATGTCATTTGTGTTCAGGGAGGTGAGAAAACAGCCCTGGGACAGAGAGAGCAGAGCAGCCTGCTCTCCTCCACAGTCACAGAGCTGCACAGGGAGTTTCCAATCAGGAGAAGGCAGGATTGTGTCTGCCAGGGGAGACAGTGAAGGGGAGTACCGTGTTACTAAACTTAAATAGGGGAACAAAAACCCAGCAAGAGGAAAGTTCTTGCTTAATGACACTTTCATTATGCAATAAACTTCGATTCAGTAGTCTGTCAAAATGTGCAGAGATTGGGATAACGATGGGGGAATGTGTTTTTCTGATATTATCTCCTTGCGCCATGGCTGTGATCCTTAAAGCAGGAGGTTTTGATTTACCCAGAGCTGCTCGAGGATTTCCCCCTTCCCTTCCCAAGCCAGGAAGCAGGCAGCACCCACGGCTTTGCTGCCGGGCAGGGTGCAGAGGCATTCAGCAGCAGGATGGGGCTGCTCCTTAAAAGGCAATGTTGAAGCAGTTCCTGCCTTTGGGGGACCTGCTGGATGAGCCCACGCAGGCAGGAGTTCAAGGTAGGCTGGAAGGGGGTCTGTGAGCAGCAGGTGAGCAGCAGCCTCAGCGGTGGGTGAGTTTATTGTCCCCCAGCCCCTCCACCAAGTGTCACCACTAGTGCCACAGCTTCAGGGCAGCCGCAGCCGCCCTGGAGCTGAACTCGATGAACCGGGAGGTTTCGACATGACCTTTGTTAGTCTTTAAAGTCTGGTACCTGTCCTCACCCAGCTCGGGGTTTTCCCGTGGTGTCTAACAAGTGGTTTTGTTCTTTGAGAAGAGGCGGTGCGAGTGGCAGGTTCTTGCTGAGCTCCTCCAGTGCCTTGCCCGGGCTCTGCGCTCCCTGTCCTCAGGGCACAGCCAGCCTGGGGCTCTCCCTGTGCCTTTTCCCACACTGAGGACACAGAGAGGCCACGGGATGGAGTCAGCATGATAAGGCAGAGGAGGGTTAGGCACGGTGGTAAAATACCCATGACAGAGCGTTAAATAACTCATGAAAACTCCTATATAGTTCCTTTTGGGTAGATATGAAATATTCCTTTGGATACCAGAGACACTCTTTTGAACGCTTATTTTCAGTGCTGCCAACAATTCATCTGAGTTTTGGACTGACCTGAACCATTTTTTCCCCAGTCTCATTCTGTTTACAAAACTAAAATAAAGTCAGCCACCTTACATCACCTTTGAAATGCAGGAGCTGGCTGGGTGATGCTGGGGAGCTGGCAGCTCCACACCTCCCTCTGTTTGTCTCCCCTGTGCTCATGTTGGAGCCTTCCCTTCTCCCATCAGAGGTATTTACAACTGTAAAAACCTGCTCATAGTAGTAAAAGTGGGCTGGAGAAACTGGTTTGCAGCCCATGCCCGTCCTTGCACGTTGTCCTTCTGGGTGGCCTTGGGGTGGGATGTGCCTTGGGGTCTCAGGTGTCCTCTATGCAGGCAGGGTGCCAGGGCAGCTCTGAGCCAGGAGAGCCCAGCCTGGCCATCCCAGTGTCCAGGGTGCCGTGGGTTCCTGTACAAAGCAACATGGTAAAAATTAACTGGGATGGGGAGATTGGGTGCCGTGAGGGCACAACTGTGTCCAAGGCTTAAATTAGCCACGCTTGCCCTGAGTGAGGCTGTGGTTGACTGCAGTCCCATCCCTGCCAGCCCAGGCTGGTGCTTGGCTGCCTTTCAGCCAAGGTGTCACCCCCAGGAGCGTGCCTGTGGTGCCAGTGCCCCCCGTGCCCCCAGAGCTGCACTTTCTGCCACCATTGGCTGAATGTTTCTCGAGTGTGTAGGAGCAAACTGCGAGGATTTGCTTAGTGAGTGTCAGTGAATGGAATACAAAAGGCCTGTCAGGAGGAACTGCTGGGTAATTACTATAATTTGCTGCCTACATTTTAATTTTGAGTATTATTTTTTCAACAATAAGGGAGCGGGAATAGTATCTGAAGCAGGTGAAAGAAGAGAGCTGGGCCTGCCAGCAGTGGCTGCTCCACATGCTCTCACTGCCATGCTGGACCAGAGGGGATGGCAATCTCCAGGAGCAGGCATCCTGAGGGGGACTTCTGTCCCCTCGTGTCAAAGGATAGGACACAGCAAAAAAGAAAGGCTGTGGCAGGAGCAGTAAAACAAGAGCACAGGGCTCAAGCTTTTGCAGCAGGTGGATGCAGTGGTATAGAAATTATCTCTTTCAAAGGGGAGACCTGAGAGCTGAGGGTCCCCAGCCAGGGCCGGCAGAGAGGGGACATCGCACTAGAGCTGAGCTGGTCCAAGATCCCAACTCCTTGCTGAGCAGGTACCCACAGCTTGTTAGGTGACAGAGAAGTGGCATGACGGGTGTGAAAGGTGCTGGGAAGTTCAGCTGCAAGCTCCCTTGTAGCTGTGGGACACATCAGGGGCATGCTTGTGTCCAGTCACCAAATGGGAGGTCCCCTGGGAGCACAGCAGGCTGGTGCTGGCATCACCTGAAGGAAGGAAGGGCATCACCCACCACAGTGGCAAGGGCACACCGAGCCGGCTGCCTGCACCATGGTCCCTCCAGCAGAGCCCAGTGCCTGCGGGGACGTGGGCTCACCCCCACACATCCCCACTGCTTCCCTTGGCACAGCATCAGCAGCCTGGCATGCACCTGGCTCTGCCACCCACTGATCCGTGGCCCTGGAGAAGTTACTCACCTTCTCCGAGGCTGGGCGAGCCACCCTGAGGTGGGTGCGGGAAAGCCATGCAGGCCACGCTTTTGGGATGCCTTGGGTGGTGTCGCTGACTCCACAGGGCTGGTCTTTCTCCAGAATTGGATTGCGGCACATTTTGGCGGTGCCGTAGCCAGAACTGCCTCCATATTCACTCCCAAGAGGGTGTGTGGGCGCAGGAGGTACTGAAGGATCACACCAGGTACCATCAGGCGTAGGGAGTGATATCACTTGGTTTTTCCCCCTATAACCTTGGTCTGTTAATCCGTGCGAGCTCCCATTAAGGGACCTTTTTACGGGCTCTCTCCGCCCTCACCAAGCCCAGGGTGGAGCTGGGCAGCCGTGCCAGAGTGCCTTGCAAATGTCTCTAGTAAAAACCCCCAGTGCCCAGAGCCTGGGGCTGCCCAGAGCCTGGGGATGCCCAGAGCCTGGGGCTGCCCAGAGCCTGGGGATGCCCAGTGCCAGAGCCTGGGGCTGCCCAGAGCCTGGGGCTGCCCAGAGCCTGGGGCTGCCCAGTGCCAGAGCCTGGGGCTGCCCAGTGCCAGAGCCTGGGGCTGCCCAGAGCCTGGAGCTGCGAGCCGAGCGCCCCTCCAGGTCTCTTCTCAGTTCCCCGAGATGCTGAGCACGGTGCCGCTCTCTCCGAGCTCCTCTTCCTTCAATCTCCACTCGCCGTACGGGAGCAGAGGCCCCGGTGTGTCCATGACAGCGGTGCCAAAGCTCTCGCCATCCTCCTGTGCCCGGGCAGCAGCGCAGGGCAGGGCCGGGGTGTCCCGGGTCGGTGCGGCACTGGGCTCGCCGGCGCGCACGTCCCCAAAGAAAAGCGCCTTTGATTCACTTGAGAGCGGAGAAAACTATTAGCCAAGCTTTGTTTTCCTGGATCCCTCCCCCTGCCGCTGACATTCAGCCGAGAGCGAGGGAGACAGAAAGTGAGCGAGGGAGGGCGGGAGCGGGTGCCAAGCGCCGCACCCCTTGTCAGCTTGGGTCAGCGCCACGTTCGTTATTAATGCTCTGTCTAGAGGTCACATTCAGATGCAACGAGCCCCGGGTCAGCCAGAGGAACAGATTAGAGCTTGCTCGCTGCTCCGCCACATACCGACGGCACCGGCTCCCCGTCCCCGGGCTGGCAGGAGCGGAGCTGCCGCGCTCCCGCCCCTTCGCTTTTCTCCTGCCTTTTTTTTTTTTTTTTTAATTATTATTATTTCTTGGCAACGTCGGGCATCTCCTGAAACTGCACAGTCTCCCTATAGCCCCGAGCTGCTGAGCAAGGAGATGAGGTAGGGGAGAAAATCCTGGCGGCGTTTCCATCCACCTTAAGAAGCGCGGCTGCAGCCGGCTGGAACGCTCCGGAGGAGAGCGGAGGAGAGCGGAGAGCGCTGCTGGAAGCGGAGGGAAGAGCTGGGGCCGGAGCATGTGTTCCCACCAACTTCTGCCATCGGGGTCAGGAGTCTGCCGCCTGTGACCTGCTTTCCAGCCTCGCTGCCCGTTTGCTCGCCGCTCCCGGCCGCCCATGGCTCTGAAATCCTCTCGCCCCCAGGATTTAAGGAACCGGCTTTGCTTTCTTCTCTGTCTCCGGCTGCTGCGAGGGAGCGAAAGCGAAATGCGTGGGGAGGGTGTGAGCGGAGCACTCGCAGCGCTTTGCCGCGGGCTGCCGTGCCCGGGGGGGCTTTGAAGAAGTGCCCTGGCAGCCGTGTTCCTCCCAGCCCACCCGCTGCACACTCCGGTGTGCTCCCTGCCCGCCGGAGCACGTAAGTCGGGGCTTGGGGTCCGGAGGACGGGGTTAACCTCAGGGCTGTGTGTGGCTGCGTGCCTGCGGCACAGCCCCCGCCCCGAGCCGAGGAGCTCAGCCTGCCGAGATCTGATAACTCGGTTAGTCATAGTTTCAGTTGCGATGTGGAGCGAAGGGCTGGTGCTGCCGTGCCGGGCTGGAGTGCGGGGCAGGGGGAGCAGCTCTGCTGGACGGGCTGATGGAGATGGGTGCCCGGCCAGCTCAGGGGAGCTTCCCCGCACATCAGGGGGTGTCTGGGCTGGTCCCTCCCGAGCGTGCACATAACTGCAGCGTGGCAAGCAGGTGTTGCTGTTTTGCTCTGGTTTCATGTAGAAGAGTGGCGGGGCTCCCTGCTGGTCCCGCGGGCAGGGGCTGCAGGCAGCCTCCTCCTCCTCCTCCTCCTCCTCCTCCCCCCCCTCCGAGCAGTGGCCTCCTGCCCTGCTGCAAGCTCCTTCAGCGGTGTCCTGGCGAGCAGGGGAAGGACAGCCAGGAGCTGGCATTGCTTGTGGCTGGTAAAGGTGCCACCACGCTGGGGACCACTCACACTGACATCCATCACCCCCCCAGCCACGAGCTCTGCCATGCCAGGTCCTGCTTGTTGGCATCTTTCCTGCCAAAGCGCCCGTGCTCGTGGCACATCCACACCGCTGCCAGTGTCTTCGTTTCGGCTTGGCCTGGCTGTCACACTTGGTGCTGGGCCACCAGCGTGGTGATGAGCAGAGGGACAGAGCTGCTTGTTTGCTTTGGAAGGCAGCAGTGGGTTGTGTCAGAGGGGATGGGTTGTGACACTGGGGACTGTCCTGTTTTCCCCTGCGGCATTCAGCAACGGCAGGGGGAGGACTCTTGCCCCACTCGTTGCCTCAGGATTGGTGGCCGGATGTGATTTTTTTTTAATCTTTTTTTTTTTTTGAGAAGTCCCAGTCCGTCAGCGGGGTGACAGAGGTCGTGGGTTTGGCTGAGCAAGGCTGGGAGTTGCAGAGTTAAAGCTCAAACTTGTTTCTTGGCTTGCCAGGGCCTTTCTGGTGCTCAGTGCATGTGATGCCTTGTACATGCAATTTGATAAGCCTGGTGCTGGGACGGGCAGGATACAGGCACCAGCTGGATGTTAACTCCTGCTGTGCTGGGTGCTGCTGGTTTTCTCCAGGACCTGGGAGGCAGAGAGGGGGATTTTATCTCTCTGAGGGTACATGGTGCCATCTATTCAATGCAGCCATGCCCTCAGCCCCCATGCCGTGCCCTCCCCTTGCACGAATTCAGAGCAGATCCTGGCTGGGGGAGCGTCCTTTGGGCCCGGTTGCATGTGGCTGTGCTGAGATCAGCCCATCCCTTGGGGTTTGTTGCTGAAGCTGAGGTTGGGCTGCCACTTTAGGGCCGGGCTGCCACATGGCAGCAGCTTGGCAGGAGGCTGGCAGCAGGGCTGGGGCACAGCTGCAATGTTCCCAGGCACAAACAGAGCCGTGCCAGGAGCCCCACTGTGGGACTCACCGTGGTGCCAAGCCCCTGGTGTCAGAGCAGCCAGGGAGGGGCTTGGGTGTGGAGCCAGTGGTCAGTGCCCACTCCCAACCCCACAAGGCTGTGGGTGGTGGCCTCTGGGCAGAAAGTCCCCCAGCAAAGGAGAAAGATGTTCTTAGCAGGTTCATTCCGTGCTGACTTTCATCTTGAAGTTACCTTTCTGTGGCAGTATAGTAACTCTGGACTTAGAAACTCTGCATCCTGTGCCCTCACAAGGTGCAGGGAAGGGCTAGGGAGCTGCTGGCCTGATAGTGGCATCACATGGGCAGTCAGGAGCAAGCCAGGCTGGCAGTGTCCCACAGGCTGGTGGCAGCCCCACAAGACACCCCATGAAGGACCAGCCACACAGCAGGCAGTGAGGTGTTACTTCTCAGAAACCTGGATGGTTCTTTCACAGGTCACCTCCAGGAACCCGGGGTGCCTCTGCAGCCATCCCTGGGCCATGGTTGTAACTCCTACCTCCATCTGCAGGACCAGGGGTGCCCAGATACCCCGCAGAGATGGCAAGGACACGAGGTGCTGACTGTCTCATTCCTCCTCCACCTTGCTGGGTTTGCCCCGTGTTCAGGTGGCACCATCTGGCCAGGATTGGCAGCCCTCGATGTGATGCCTGACCCGGGAAGCTGCTTTTGTCATGAGCCTGTGATCAGCACTAATCCCCTGCCACACCTCTTCCCAGCCGAGGATATCACCTGGGTTTCCCTGCCAGCATTCTCACCTGCCCAGGCTTCCCTCCCCTTTCCTTCCCAGCAGGGCAGCGTGCCTTGGGGTGGGAAGAGCCTTTGGTTCATGTTAGGGGCTGAGAGCAGCTGTCCCAAGTTCTCCTGGCGTGCCAACACCTGCTGCAGCCGTCCCAAAGGAAAGGGAGCACTGCTCGTCCTCGTCACTGCGAGACACAGCTGTGGGACGTGTTTTATTCCAGAGACTGTCACCATAGCGCCTTTTTCCCCTTTGGAAAGAAAAACAGCCTCTCACAGGTCATCCCCTGCTCTAGAAGCCATCAGACATGCTAGTGACCATATTGCTCCTGTGGAGTTGGGCTTGCAGGGAGGAGGTTTCCCGTCCTGTGTGGATAATGCTGCCCTTGTGTGAGTGCATCAGTGTTCAACCCTTCTCCTCTCTGCCTCTCCCACTGCAGGTCTCCTTGAGCATGGGCGGAACTGGTCGGCCATTGCCAGGATGGTGGGCTCCAAGACCGTGTCGCAGTGCAAAAACTTCTACTTCAACTACAAGAAGAGGCAGAACTTGGACGAGATCCTACAGCAGCACAAACTGAAAATGGTGAGAGCCCTGTCCCAGCCTGCGTTGGGCGCTGTGGATATTTCCTAGCCAGTGCTTGGATGCTTCCCACAGCCAAGGGGGGCCTTTATCACCTTGGGTGAAAGCTGTGGGGGCTGTGGAGTGGCGTGGGAAGGGGTTGTCCACCCGTCTGTCCCTGCAGCGCTGCTGCACGGGAGATGCCTGGGTGTCTGGAGCGTGGCTGGTACCTGGAGCGATCAGGAGCAGGAGGAGGAGCAGGGCTGTGGTGTGTTGGCCAGGATGCAAGTTCTAATGGCTGTGCAAATACTTTGTTTCTGGTGAGATTGTGCTGTTCCGCCCTGGCGAGCAGAGAGCCTGGCTGGGTCACACAGGTCCGTGCCTTGCAGGTTCTGCAGTTACCTGCTAAACTGCTTTGGTTTGCCCCAAAGAAATCAGAGATTTAGGACAATGTGAGGAAAGCCTGGCTCTGAAAGAGGTTTTCTTCAGCAGTGCACGTAAATGTGCACACCTCTCCGTACCTCACTTTCCCCTTCAGATGGGGCTAATGCTGCTTTTTTCCTGGCTTGTGGTGCAGGCTGTGAATGTAGTGGGGCTTGTTTGGTGTTCTGGAGATAGCTTGGACTGCTAAGAGACACTAAAGATTATAATTATTTCATTTGTAGAGTATCCTGGGGTTCCCAGTTTCTGGCTAATAGAATTCACATGGCTAAACCCCCAAGGGGTGCTTTGAAAATGCAAAGGACAATGTTCAATGCAGGAATCTTTCCAAGCAAGCTATTACAGCAAGAGTAAAAAGAAAGACAGGAAAACATTCAATGACTCACCCAGGAATTTAATATCCTAGTCAGTCTATAGGAATGAGAGAAAGAGAAGACATCGGCGATTCTTTTTTATTAATT